GCTGAACCGTAAGAAACGTGAAATCTCTTTATCTGATATGTGTGTGTTCACAAGGTTTGTGTTACTCTTCTTTCCTTTTGACTTGAACGACAAAAATGATGACGTGTCTATGTTAATAACTATACGACTACAAACTTTGCATTAAAACGTGTCGTTTTCTTTATCGAAACACCGCAAAGATTGAAACAAAACTGACTTGTTTGGACGAGCGTAAACTCGAGGCATAAGAGGCCTGTCGTTTCTAACAATTAAAGCTGAGATTTTTTTTTTTTTTTTTTTTTTGGAAATGGGAGAAAAAGGTAAAAAACAAACTATTGTGCTGTATTTTTGGCATCCGACAGCAGTCTTAGGGCAGTTCAACGGTCAGTTTTTGTCAGTTTTGCCTCGGTCGGCCACCGAACTGAAAGTTCAATTTTGTGGAGAATTGGAACTAAAACCATCCAATGGGGGTATAAAATCGAGCATCAATCAGACCGTCATACTCAGTCGGTTTAGTTCCATTTTGACAGTTAACCGACAATTTTTCTTTTAAAAGACAACTTTCAAACACTTGATTTTGAGACTTAAATATCAAAAGCAAACATGATTTTGACACTAAAAAACTACACAAAAAATGTCACCATACTTCCAAAACCTAGCAGATGTCAAATATTTCAAGTATTTTAACAATATTTTTTAAGGTTACTTGGATGTTCGGTTAACTGACCGACTCCATAAACTTAAAATCGAAACCCAAGTCCATACACTAAGGCTCAGTTCAGTTAAGTGACTGCCACCAATCGATCCTGACGTGACACTTACTTCTTCGGTCAATTTCAATTGGTTGTTGTCGGTTATGCTTGGTTGACGGTTTTTTTACAGCCACAGCCCTAAGCAGCCTTAACAGGAAACATTAAACAAAAGAGGAGAATCTATATGTCGTTTATGTTTTCAAACGACAAGCAGCATGTCCTTTTCCGTTGTTAATTGTTATTAAAATAATTAAAAAAAAGATAAACGACATTTGTATATAATAATAAACAAACACATTCTTGTAAAAAACGACATATCGTTCATAATTTAGACATCGTTCAAAATTTTTCTCAAAGATTTATCTCCTTTGTTTTTTGCCCCAGAAATTAGAATTAATCAAACTTTGCGCTTGCATATATTCCTCGTCTCTGTTTTTTCTCCCCAACCCCAGAGCACCAGACAGACACAATCAGTTCCTCTCTCTCTCTCTCTCTCTCTCTCTCCCTCCCAAAACTCAGACACACACAAAATCGCCATCGTCTCTGATCCTCTCTTTCCCCTGCAATTCCTAGGAGGCTAGGGTTTCCATGTGCTCGGATTTCTCCCCCTGGTAATGCTTCAACGTCCCTCTCTCTTGCTACCGCGGAACTGCCAATGTACGGACACTCCCACCCCCACGCCCAGTCCATGACCATGCCCAACCAGATCGACGACGATGACGACGTTTCCGCCGGCGTCGGCGGTGGCGCGGAGTCCATCGATAACCCCCACATCCGCTACGACGCCTCGCACACCCTCGACGACGCCAACGGCGGAGTCGCCGGCGGAGGCGTCGTCGATGACGTCGGCCACGATCCCGTCTACGCCGGCGCCGGCCACGAGTTGGTCGTTCACCGCAGCGACGGCAGCAGCCAACTCACGCTCTCGTTCCGCGGCCAAGTTTACGTCTTCGACGCCGTTACCCCTGACAAGGTGCGGGTTTTAATTTTCGCGAGGTTTTTCTGTTTGGATTGCCGAGAAATCTGGATTAAATTTCACGAATCTAAACTTTGGAATGTTGAATTATCTAATTCGTTGCGGGATTAGGCTTTAATATCTGCTCAATTAGGGTATAATCTGTTAGTTTTACACTAAATCAGGGGACAAAAATCACATGCAACTGAGGATGCTTGTGAAATTTGTTTTCGTTAACCTCAATTTCTTAGCAAACAATCCTCAAAAAAAAAAAAAAAAAAAAAAAAAATCTTAGCAAACAAACGGAAATAAGGTTTTTTCTTTCATATTATGGATATGGGGATTACTCTGCTGAGAAAAAGTTTGTGTGTATTTTGAAGGTTCAAGCAGTGTTATTACTCTTGGGGGGATGCGAGATTTCTCCAGGCGCACAAGGTGTGGGGATTCCAAACCAGAATCACAGGGTATTTACTTTTTAGTTAGCCATGAAAACTTATCTATTGGACTAGATAGTGCTATATCACTTTAACTATAGGAAAGTGGTTGTGTATATGATTTTTTTTTTTTTTGGCATATTCTGCAGGGTGTGGTGGACATTCCGGTGCGATGTAGTCAGCCTCAAAGAGCCGCCTCATTAAATAGGTTCCGGCAGAAGAGAAAAGAGCGATGCTTCGATAAGAAAGTGAGATATAGCGTCCGTCAAGAAGTTGCACTCAGGTGTGCTTATCAGTATACTGTAATTCTTATTAGGTTTTGGGTGTTTAATAAAAAGTTTCTGAGGAATGTATATGTTGTTTAGATTAGGTTGATGTACCTGCAAAAATCATTCTGCTCATTTAGGAAAACCTTATATGACTTTTGTTCTTGTATTCTGATGATCTTTAAGTAAAATAGTCCTATATGTAGATATATTATTGAAACCAGAAGAATACTTATCACTTTTGTGAGTCAGTTTTGCATGCTATTTGACCACATACGATTTCGAGGATACGCTGGCCCGGATTGTTGTTCTTGGGGACCTTACCTAATAAACAACGATTGGGAATGTAGTACCCACTATGATGTTTCTGTATTTATTTATTTATTTCTTATTTGTGGTCTAAGTTTACCAGTTTAGCTACTACTCTCTGTATTTAATTCGTAAATGTATTTCCCACATCAGGATGCAGCGTAACAAGGGACAGTTTACTTCAAAAAAGTCAGAGGGAGCCTATGGCTGGGGTAATTCTCAGGATTCAGGGCAAGATGATAACCCACCGGAAACTTTGTGAGTTTTCTTCTATATCGTGGAGCCCCATATCTTTAATAAAGAATTGATCTTTCCAAAACATTGATCCATGAGATCCATTTTCCTTTTACTGCTTTCATCATCTATATCCTATCTTTCTTTCATAGATCTGTCGTGGGACCTGTGTTATTGTGGTTTACCTTTAACTATGATTTTTTTCTTTTTTTATTTATCTACTATTCAGTATTCACTATTATACCTTTGTGCACTTGTCTAGATGTACGCACTGCGGCATAAGTTCGAAATCCACTCCAATGATGCGGCGTGGACCCTCTGGACCAAGGTCTCTATGCAATGCCTGTGGGCTTTTTTGGGCAAACAGGGTTAGTATCATTTCAAACACATTGACTAATTCATTTCTACGATGCTCTTGTCTATTTAATGTCTTCAACAACTTTCTGCGAATTCTACTTGCCTCTGAAAATACACACTTACTTTTTTCTTAAAGACTTTATATTGTTATCCATCCTGATCCAGTTGCCTGCTTGTAAAAGTGTGTCCGTATTCTTTAATAACATTGATATAGCTATTGGGGATATTATTTCGCCCACCAAAAAAAGAACATGGGGATGTTGCAACATAGAAAAGTTATTCGGTGTTCTTTATTGTCTATTAGAGAAACTAAGGATATATCGCGCGCGTGCGCGCACACACGCTCAGTCCATCAACAGTTCATTTTTAGTTTTTCTGTGTGCAAAACAAAAGATGTAAGCATCTTGCTTTACTCTTTGAAGTGATCATATCTCCATATTCTCTCTCTGATAACTTGGCCACTGGCAGGGTCAAGGATATAGAATAAATACGAAACAAAATTGTGCATGTGATTATAATGCTATAAAGCTTATGCAAATCTCTCGAGGTAGTGTTAATTAGACTTCATGCTGGTCAGTACTTCATGTTCATGTTTGTGTTTGTTAGACTTTATACTGAGTTTATCGAGCTAAATGGCTGGCAAACAGCATGAAACAAAAATCTGAAAATAGAGATCCCCAGTCTAGCCAAATAAGATTAAAGGGAATGTCCTTAGGCTCCTTAGACTTGGTCACCTTGAAAATCCCAGAATTTTACACTATCTTAAAAGGAACTCTTCTTCCTTGTGGGAACTCTTTTTTTAGGTGGACATTGGCTTCATAGAAATAATGATGCAACATTGTTTTCACTTGATCAAATTAAATCGGACTAAATTTTTGGAATATGTATTCGATTATGTCAAAATGTCAAGGGCGGGTGATTTAGGTGGTCACATGATTGTAGGTGATATGGAGGTCGTGCTGTCGTATTGGTGTAAGAATTGTTATGAATGATTGTTCTAACTTCTAAGTTTCTAACCTTCTTTCTTTTCTTTTCTTTTCTTTTCTTTTCTTTTTTCCTTTTTTTTCCCGGTTCTAGTTTGGCCTCTTTTCCCTCCGAGTAGGAACTTGTTTTACTTTTGTTTTCTTGAGTTGACGCCTAGCACCCAAAATTGCATGAAATATTTTCATAGAGTGAAAACTTTCTTCGTAACATGGAGCATGAGGTGTACTTTATCATTATTTATTGGCTTTTTTATGAAAATCAGGTTCACGCTTCCCTTAGTTAATTGTTAACTAATGTTTGGCCTTAATCTCGGTAAACACATAGCCCAGCATTCTGGGACATTTATTTGATATTAAGTCTTACGTTTGTCACATTGGATTTTAAGGGGACTCTGAGAGATCTTTCCAAGAAGACCCAGGATCAACCTCCAACTCCGGCTGAGCAGGTGAACATCGACATTATATATATTATACTGGTCAATATTTTATTTGCACAGTTTTGTTTTGTGGGTCTCCTTGTTGTGTTTAAAATTCTTCTCCATGATAAAATCAGGGTGAAGGAGACGCTAGTGATTCCAACTGCGAAACTACCATCCGAACACACAATAATCTTGTCCCGTTTTCTAATGGTGATAGCTCAGCTTTAATGGCTGAGCAATAAGTTGTCTTGCAGAACAAGCCAAAGTTGTCTGTGGCTTATTGAAGTAGGTTTCTTCTGGTCAATTTAACTTGGCTTGCCTCATCTGATCTGCATATTTGATAGTGACTTCCTCAATATAAGAGGTCTCTCTCTCTCTCTCTCTCTCTCTCTCATTTGTAATCTTTGGCTCTATCCTGGTCAAGAATCCTATTTTAAATGTATTAGAATAACTCAAGGATATAGCTGGGCTAGTTATATAGAGTGTATGCCCTCCTATAGCCCTTACAATCACATTGAGTAGAATTTTTGTTTCCCTATTAATTGATAAAAAAAAAAAAAGGAGAAATTTGATACCAATTTGTGGTACAGTTATTATAAGAATTTCTCTAACAGATTTTAAAAAACGAAAGAAATGAAGGGTGTCCTATCTAATTCTTATTAGCGTTGAAACATCTGTGTTTGCTAATGTACATCTTGAACAAAGCAACTGCAAATATGGGTTGCAAGAGAACCTGCCATTCACAGAGAATCTTAAAAAAGTAGATGCAATACTGAAAGAACCAAGTTGATGTATCTTTAAGAACCAAGTTGATGTATCTTTAAAATAAAAATAATAAAAAATATAAAAAAATATAAAAAAAAACCATGTTGATGTCGTTTTTTACATTTTTTTTAGTGGAAGTAGAAACATGTTGATACTTGGAATTTGGAAATGCTTTATCTTTTAATCAGTCGGCCAACTTGATTTATCTTGGTGAAAGACTGGGAGTTGTCAGAAGTTTGGCTTGAACTTATTTGGGGAAGTTCTCGATTCTTACCATGTTTCACTTTTTTTTCTTTTTTTTTTCTTCTTTTGGCCTGGCCATGTTTCACTTCTATAATAAACGTTACAGTAATAATTAGGCTAGTTGGCATTCTCAATCATACAATGATGTAATATGAAGATAAGATATATCAGTCATCCTACATTGGAAAAGCCAGGAAATTTGGTCAAGTTCACCCCCTCTAACCATGTACCAGACGGTAAATTCCTTTTGGATTACATTAGTATTGATTCAGCAATGGTTTAGAAACGAAGAATTTCTTCTTCTTCTTTTATTTTTTATTTTTTGAAATTTCCCTTTCAAAAAAAGGCCCTTTTCCGACCGCCAACCTGACAAAGGATTTTTTGGGAATGTTTGGTTGCCTTACAGTATCAATCATTGGTTGGACTTGGTTGGTTGGTTGTCCTCTTTTGGTATAGTTCCTTTATGCTTGTGTTTAAAGTTCAATTTATACTAGATACTAGAGAGTAGATAGGTCTACCCGCTTCGTCACAAAAAAAATAAAAAAATAAATAATAATAATAATAATAAATAAATATTAATATTAATATTAAAAAAAAAACTGATTGGTTAAAATTTTCACTGGGCACCCTAAAATGATCAAACAGAACACAAATTTTATTTATTGATATCTCAATTCTCCCAATTCGTCTGTTTGTCTATAGATAGGCATATTTATATGCACACTCCTCTTTTCCTCTTCTTTAGAGGAACTTTTATAGCGAAACGTGTTTCACACGTGTAATATACAAAGATTGATGTGCACGTGATATTACTTTTTTTTTTCTAGACTACTTATTGTGTCCTTTTGAAGTTCTTGTTACAAAAGAAAATAAATGAATAAATAATATAAACAAAAAACAAGCTTTTGTTATACCTGAGAACTTTACATGCACGATCGGTTCTTCAAAAATGGCATGGGTGAAGGACCGTAAAAGAGCTCCAAAAAATCAAATAAAAAGGATTATGTTCACTAGCAAAAAGAATAATATATCAAAGATAGTATGTATAAAGGTGGTTTTTCAAATTGCACCGTTAATGATGGATCCAACAACGTAGTGATTTATCAAATAATGCTACTAAAATTTTGAATTGACTTGTTATAAATTGGAAATGGTGCGTGGAGCTAATATTTTTTATTCACTTTTTTGTACTAAAATTATAATTTTTTAGTTCGAGTTTAGATGTGACTTTATGTGAAAGTTTTTTACTGTAGTAAAAAAATTAGATGTGACTGTTTCTGATAACTTTTTACTGTAACAAAACTCAAATCAGCGAAATGAACGGGACCATAATGAACGCTTGCATGTTGCCATCATGTCGTGTTTTCACAAAATGTAACATTTTTTTTATTATTTATAATCGATTATAAGTATATTTTTATTCCTTTTCAATGTTTATTTAAGGAGATGAACACCATGTAATTATCAGGTGTTTCTAAGTGCTCATTATTCTGCGGAGGATTTGGTGCCAAAATTTGGAGCTGGGGAGCCGTGGAAGAAAGTTTTTGGGCCTGTTTTTATCTACCTTAACTCTTTATTCGTTGGAAGCGGTGAAATGAACGGCCATAATATCATTCTTATTATTTATTGAGAATTCCTCAAAATATTATCCAGACCATCGCAGTCTTTATTATCAACCGTTCGATTATTTCCACAAATCCACTTGCACAGTGGGCCCCGCCCCACACACTTTCTCTACTCCATCATTGATCCCATCCACAACAGCGAACACCGAAACACATCCCACGTGAAGCAGTGGCCCCCACGTATCCTTAGCCAAAGTTTGCAAATCTGACGGCGGAGGAACCTTTACGCAACTTCCGAGCCACATTACTCGCAATACACCTAAAACTCCTCACCTTCTCAACAATTTATTTTATTTTAATTTAATTTAATAGGAAAAAGATCTGGTTAGGCCGCAATATTCAGGAGGACCTACAACATTTGTTTAGGGAAATTTATATTTTCTACCATGCAATTTTGAGTTAATTAAAAAGTATACCTTACATTTTAGATTGTTGTATTTTTATACCTTTATATTGCCAATTTTACTAATCTATATATCATTTTTTGGTCGGCTGTCTATTTTAAAATGTGAAATTTCGGGAATACACTATTAGAAATCGTCAATGCTATTTGGTTACTTACAAGAATAGAAGTAATACATCATTAATCAAAAGGGTAATTTTAGAATTTCACTAGTCAAAATGCATAATTAATATGTTAAACATAAATTGGTAATAGTGCTGGAACTTTGGCCGTTGCCCGCGACTGCCTGAAAATACCGTTTTTTTCCCGATGCCCGACCCGACCTGCTCAAAATTTTTGGGCCGCCCGCCTGAGCCCGAGAAGGCCCGTCCACGGGCCTCAGGCCTGACTTTGGCTGCCCAAGCCCGCCCGGATAGCCCGAATTTTTTTTATATTTTTTAATTTTTATAATTATTAAGTTATTTTGTGTTAAAATTATATAAAAACTAAAATCAACATTCAACACAATTTAATAAATTAATTTTGTATATTAATTTTTAAATTCATAATTCATGATTGCCTCGTTAAAAATCTTACTAAGAAAAACTCAATTGGGATAAAAACTTGGTAAAGAAAAAAGGGTGTAATCATTTGTGACGAATTACAAATTTTACAAAGTCTAAATATATAATTACAATGTCAAAAGCAAATACATAATTACAAATTACAAATTTACAATTTAATTTGAAGCTGAAGGATCGTCTTCAAAATTAAATGTTAATATATTAAATTTATCGATCCATTCTTGACTTGCCGGTGAAATTGTATCCTGTAGACGTTGATCGGTACGATCCCAATCCTTAATGCAGACGAAGGCTTCAACAATGTCCCTTTGCAATGTGTTTCGGCGTTCCTCAAGTATTCGTTATGTCGTACTGAAGGCTTGTTCGGATGAAACAATGGAGACTGGGATCGAAAATATATCAATTACGAATCGAGTTAGGATTGACCAAGTTAATGCTCGTGTCCTCCACCATTGAACTAAGTCAAACGATTCTCTAGTACCGTCGACTACTAAGCTCTCACTGAGGTACACTATAAGCTCATTGAAGCCCCTGCCGCCGCTGCCACCTGTTGATGAAGATCCACTCCCAGCTTCTATTTGAGTTGTCTTCTTCTTCTTCTTCAACCTGAAAACATTCAAGAATGATTGCGGGTTTTCATCTTGTTGTTACGGTTCCTGTACTCTAGAGTTTGTGCTTCTAAACCTATTCTCATATTTACTATAGATCGAAAATATATTTTCCTTTATTGTTGAAAATTGGTCCGAACAATTTATACCTAAAAATTCACTTAAGTTTTCTAAACCGTATAATTTTAATATAGGATCAAAAATAGTACCCAAACCATACAACAAAGGCAACTTAGACCAATATTTTTTAAATTTCTTTTTCATAGAATGGATAGGAACTCCTAAGATTGGGTCCGCCCTATATTCACTAAATAAAATACTAATTCTTAAAAGTTCACCTAAAGCTAAAGGTGATGTTGGGTAATATGTTTAACTATGTTTTAAAGTAACTTCGTGAAACCTACTTAAAAATTGATACAAAACTTCGGCAATTTACCAATTATATGCGTCTATATGTCATGTTCCTAACTTTGCACACATATAGTTTGTTATAGCATCCTTATAGGGGATGCATTATTGAAGCATAAGATAAGTTGAGTTTCATCTTACAAGCATTGCAACCATGACCTCCAGTACGTCCACCAGGGCTCAGATTAGTAGATTCCTGCGTAACAAATTCATTAGTGGGAAATTGCCCTTCTTCCACGTTGTGTTGGGCATCAACGGGAATACCACTATAACCAAAAGAATCCATTATAAAAAAATAAGAGCGATTTGAGAAATAGAGCTTTAGGATAATGTGATAGTTTTTGAAAAATTGTGAGAGAGAGAGATTGAGAGAACCTGAGAGAGATTGAGAGAACCTGAGAGGGATTGAAAAAGTTTGAGTGAGGAAAATATGTGAGGAATGTGGGGTATTTATAGGGAAATTTTTGGGTTAAAAATTGAATTTTTCCCCTAAATTCGGATCCAACGGCTATTTTTTCGGTGGGTCGGGTTCGGGCGGGCTCGGGCAGAAAATCAGGCAATGGTCAAAAAAATAGCCGTTGGGGTCGAGCAGATCGGGTTCGGGTCGGGTCAGGCTCCAACGATCCAAAATTTATCCATTGGTCGGGCTCGGGCTTCGGGCATATCGGGTATGACCGGAAAAATTCAAAAAAATTTCGGCGGACGGCGGTTGACGGCGATAATACGACGGCGGGCTCCGACGAGTTGTCTATTTTCGGGCTGTCCGAACCCGAGCCTAAAAAATTAAGTTGGACAGGCTGATATTTGGACCTACCCGCCGAACCTAAAAAATTTGGGTCTCGGGCCGGCCCGCCGGCCCAAAGTTCCAACACTAATTGGCAATATAAAAAGGTATAAAATTGTTACAGTTTAACAACGTAGGGCATAATGTTTTAATAATCACAAAACGCAGGACATATAAATGTAAATATCCTATTTATTTTATTTCTCATCTGTTTGTTTCTGAATTCTAATAAAAAAAAAGTAATTTATCATTAATGGGTGGATTAAATGAAAGAATTAAAAACGAAAAGCGAATGAAAAATTTGTCCAATTTGAAGCTCTCAAAGGAAACGGAGAAACGCCCTGCAAAATTTGCCCAATTAGCTCTTCTATTCTCTTCTAGGGCACTTTTTGTCTTCCTTCTGTCAAATTCCAAAGCTTCTTCGACCTCCGAATTTCCATCGAAATCCGTTTTCCGTGGAATTTCACTGCTTTTTTCGAGACGGAAATGGTGTTCCTTCGATGGAACAGGTCGCGAGCTTAGGGTTTCCGTTACTGGTGGAGTCTCTGCGAGGTTTTAGGGTTTGAAAGGAGGTGTTTTCATGGCGGCGGCGAACCCGCAGCCTTTGCAAGCGCGACCGTTCGAGGACGACCATATGCACAGGCCGATTCCGGTTGACGACGAGGACGACGACGAGTACGACGATGGAAGCGGAGGCGGCTGTGGAAATGATGGTGATGATGCTATGGAGGATTTGGAAGAGACGAATGTGAATTCGGTGAGCGTTGCTGAACATGGAGGTGTGGTTATGGCATCGAGGACTAGCGAGCTCACTCTCTCTTTTGAGGGCGAGGTCTACGTTTTCCCTGCTGTTACACCTGAAAAAGTATGTCAGTTAGTCTCTCTCTTCTTTCTGATGGTTTAGTCTATTCAATAGCTAATTTTACTCGTCTACTCTCTCTCTCTCTCTAATTCCATTATCGAAATGTAATTTCTTATGTTCTGGTTTCTGATGGGTGCACGAAGAATCTATGCTCTTTCTGGGGAAATTTTGGCGGCGGGGAATTCTCCATCGAAAAGGGAGGGGAGAAAAAGATTATGACTTCTAATTATACTTTTAATTGACTGTTGTTGGGTGTCTTTTAGTTAAATTTGTCTTAAAAAATGGTTTTGACTTTTGGTATATTGGTAAATACTGTTCTTTTTACTGTTTGGCATAACACAGTTTCATAAATTTGGCACTATTAATAATTTTGCATTGCTTTCTGTCTATATTTCTGGATTTCTTTAGCTGTCCAGTATTTTTATGGACTAATGTGTAGTAGAGAGTGGAGAACTCTTTTTGTCGATTCATTAGGTATCTGAAATTCTAATGCAAAGCGGTGCTATAGTCATGGTTGGAAACAATCAAAGTGTGTGTGTTTCTGTTTGAAGCATTCACTGGACCCTTGGCACGGTTTATATATGCAAGCAATTAGTATGTATTTGACAATTGTTGTTCGCTCCATTCTTTTTTATGGAACTTGATTTCACTATTTGGCGTTTGCTTATTTGCTCCATAATTAGTAATCAGAAGGTTATCTGAGTTGTTTTATTCGTTATTTACTACAAATACGTAGAAAGAAAAACCGCCCCAATCGGAGTTACTACGCCAAAGTTATGACATTTTAAAAAGATATAAACACCGTTCTACATAACATTATACATGCAGTACTACACCTACTGAATATGACCTCCGCGAAAAATAACATAGTCAATATGAATCTTGTTTTGTTCGGTTTGTCACTACGAACATGTAGAAAGAAAAATCGTCTCAATCGGAGTTATTACAACAAAGTTATGACATCTTAAATTCTCTTTTAATAACAAAGAATTCTCAAACTTGCTTGTGGGCTCAAGTTTGAACTCAACCTCCCGCTGGGTCTTGCAATATTTGGAAAACATTGTAAGCAGTTGTTTCGTTGCAAGCAGTTTTAAATATATGTTTTCATATTGTTCGTCTTTTTTTGTACCTCTTCAGTGTTAAGCTTCCTATAGCGAGTTGGATTTAGATCTCAATTACAATCTCTTAAAGTTTGATTTTAGTTTAGAGCATGTCTGTTCTGAAGGAATTCTTTGGAGTTTGGCCTTCTTATTTCATCTCGGGACTTCATAATACACAGGTGCAAGCAGTGCTCTTGCTACTAGGAGGGCGTGATGTACCAACTGGTATACCTACCATTGATGTGCCCTATAATCAGAATAACAGGGTAATTCAGATATTGCAATTACTGAGACCATTTACATTGCTTTTTCTATGCTTATTCTTATGTGTTCTCTGTGACAATCTCTAGGGTGTAGGTGACAGTACAAAGCGATCAAATCTTTCACGAAGAATAGCTTCCCTTGTTAGGTTCCGTGAAAAACGGAAGGAGAGATGTTTTGACAAGAAAATTAGGTACACCGTACGTAAGGAGGTTGCACAGAGGTAAAGATAAATCCACATTTATAGTAAATATTAGAAATGAGTGTTTTTTACCTTTCCATTTGAAATATTTATTAGGCATGCTTTATGAATAGGGTAGAGGTGTTTTGATGGTACATTCTTTTGGTGTGTAATTAGGCCTTAAAAAAATTGTTAAAGTATATTTCGTTGGCAAAGATTCTATTAGATCAATTTAAATTTTTTTACTTTGATGATTTCAAGAAGGGAAATAGAATTCACTTCTTTCTTGATGGGTAATATCCAACTTATTGACGGCATCTTTTTTCCCTTACGATGCCATGTTATTAAAGATGTGCCATTCTTTTGATGTTTTTTCTCCTAGGATGCACCGTAAGAATGGGCAGTTTGCATCCTTAAAAGAAAGTTCTGGTCCTTCAGGCTGGGATTTGTCGCAAAGTGTTGATGGCACTAATCGTCCTGAAACTGTGTGAGTTCGAAGTTAAATATTGTTCTTTTGATTTTGTCATTTCACATTTATTTATTTATTTATTTTTTTGCACGATACGGGATAGAACTCACAACCTCCCTCCACCCCATCCAAACCCTTCGGTGCCATGAGACCAACTGGTCGTAGGCATTTCACGTTTCTTGATGGTAATGTTGTAGTATTTAGGTTTCCTTTCTTTTTCTGCAACATATTGCAGTTTGCGGAGATGTCAACACTGTGGGGTTAGTGAAAATAATACACCTGCAATGCGTCGTGGGCCAGCTGGACCAAGAACTTTGTGCAATGCATGTGGTCTTATGTGGGCAAATAAGGTTTGTTTATTTTGGTTTAGACTAGTGTGTATGTTGCTCACTCTTACTCAACATGTGTTTTCTTACCATACTCTTTTTTTTCTTTTTTCCCCCATTGAGCTGCGTTCTTATTATTGCTATATTCACAAATTCTATTTGCAATTTTTTCTTAAATGATTATACATATTTTTCTTCACCAGTTAATTGATTATACAGGGAACATTGAGAGATCTCAGAAAGGGAGGAAGAAACCTTTCCGTGGATCATATAGAAACTGTAAGTATGATATTGCTCTTATGAACTTGTATGGATTTACTCAAGTTATAAAAAAATATCATAATAATCGGTTAGTAAAATATAATGGTGAGCTTAAAACTTGCTGAACTGTTTCTCGGGAGAGGAATGTGTTTCTTTTGGAGTTGGATGTGGGATACGAATAACTGATTGGAAATGTTCCTGAAGCTTTGGTGTTTGAATTAGTGCACACTGCACACATTATAAGACATGCTTTATATAAGAGCTGTTTTCTTCTTGTGTTGCTGGTTGTTTTTTACTATGGCATAAATGGAGTGTGCAGGAAACACCAATTGAGATCAAGCCTTTGATTGTGGAAGGAGAAATCTCAGGCAACCAGGATGAGCATGTATGGCTTCTCACATTGGAAAAGGCATTCTGATTGTCGATTGGTGTGCTGGGCTGGTTGGTTTTCTAATTTAATCTATGGTGCTTGCAGGGAACTTCTGAAGATCCTTCTAAGACAGTTACTGAAGGATCCAATGATCCTTCTGTGAACCCTGGCAAAGAAGTATGTGTACTTCCTGTTAGCTTTGTTTACCCTATGTAATTTTTGGTTCATCCTTGGATTTGGCTTTCTAACATTTATTCTTTCTGTTGAACATATAAATTTTGAACTTAGCTTCTTCTGACAAAACTACACGTTCTTATCAATTCCCCATTATACACTTTTGGCTGGAGAAACTCTTTTTTTTTTTTTTCCCTCCCTGATCCGTACTCTTTATCTGTTGCTAAGCAAGTTGGGATGGGCACAAGTCATGAACTGGTTTAAGTATGTGAAGACAAGTGGTAAATACTAAATATAATTTTGAAATTGTTTAAAGAGACTGTCTTTTCATATTTTTCATTCTCTCTCTTCTAATGTTAGTGATGGTCTGTTACCTCTGGAAGCCAGAATTGCTCATAGCATTAGGTTGTAAAAAGCTCTTCTTGTAATAATTCAGTTGTTTTTCCAGTTCAAGAGTACATCAATTCCGTTGAGCGTTCATTGGTCTCTTGGGAACTTGCATTTCCATGTGGTGCAGGATTTACATGGAGCTAATGAAGATCTTGCAAGCACTTTGCCCATAGGAATTGTCCATTCTTCAGCCAATGCAGACGAGCAGGTACGATATCTAATATTTTGATAATTGATTTTAAGATTGCATTTTGCATAAGCTGCCTCGTAAGTTACTACTCATTCTAAGTTTGACATCTGGAAGTTTGGAACAATGCTAAAATACTTGATTTTGTTACATTATGCCATTAGCTGTGAAGAGCATTTATCTAGAAATCAGAATCGTGTTTTAAGTCCATTGAGATTTTCTCCCTCAGATTTTCACAAGTACCAAATGTGCTAACACCTTTAACTTGAAAAGAGATGGAGTCACAATCAGCATTCAACATTATAACTGGCACGATAATACACATCACATACTTTATATTAATCTACCCTTTTCACGGGAGATTTTAGGTTCTTGTCTTCTTTGTGAAATATATCATACTTGGCCATGTGTTCAGAAAGGATAGCTTATGGTGTGAAGCATTTTGCTTTATAAAAGGTTTCTTATGTCAAGAGTTCGATGATATGCAGGAGCCTTTGCCTGAGCTTTCTAATCCGTCAGATACGGACATAGACATTCCAACTAACTTCGATTAGAAGGTGATTGTTTCTTTGGCCTCTGTTTGATGCCCAAAGTTTTGGATAGTTGTTGGGACCATAAGAAATTTAGCATCTCTCTTGTTCTTGTGCAGCAAAAGGATCAAAGTTAACTAGCCTTTCAAAGTACAAGGCAAAATTTGGGGCCGGAGTTCTTATTACCAGAAACCGACATGTCTGATCCCAAGCGCTAGTATCTTATCATTGCGCAAGCTGTAGAGCTTCCTCTGGTTGACATTAGAGTATGTTGATGGCGATAGATAATGGGTATCCATCTTGTATGTTGTGTAAGTTTGTTAGGACTATGAGTTATACGCGAGTGCTTACCTTTACTCATTCTCAAATGTGTAATTTTTTCATAGGGTTGTCTGATTGCATTTTCATTTTTATTCACCAGTGCCTCTTACGAATTATGTAGCGGTAGTTGGTCACAAATGACATCGTATGATTGTCATGGGCAGGGTCCTTTTAATTGTTGGCTAATGTATGTAGTAAGTCCAACATTTCACACTTACGGGTATGGTTAATAAGAATCTCTCCACTTTTATTTATAGGAAAAAATCATTTTGGTACCTTTCTTATATTGAAATATCTCGGAGGTGACTTGTGTTTTAATAATATTAAATAAATAGGTGCTTTTTAAGTTTTAAGAAACATCTTCTAGATACTTAGTTACACTAGGCGTTTAAAAGTATGGAGATTTCCTTGACCAATTGTAAAGAGAAAATCCTTTAATTACACTAGGCGTTTAAAAGAGAGAGAAATGTTTCAGATAAAGATGTTTCAGAAAGAGAGAGAAAGTATGGAGATTTCCGAGACCCATGTTTGAAAGATGTTTTCTCTCAACTGGGGGTCTTCATTGACGTGATTGGAATTCAAAAGTCGTCGGATGACCAGAATTTCACCTTCATCAGCATGCTCCACGTGTTCCTGAATTTCTTCCTTTTCCAACTCCTCTTTCTCTTCTTCCACAACTTCATTTTCAACGATGGTGATTACCTTTCTATTCGGACACTCTGAAGCAATATGCCCATATCCCTGACATTTGAAACATTTCTTCGAAGCATTGGGGGAGTTGGTTGGTTTGTCATTCTTCACCTCTGGTTTAGTTGTGGCGGATGCGTTGTTAAAGGCTAGTTTTGAAGAAGTCGCTCTAGGGTTGCCCTTAATTCCGTAACTAGTGCTTCCCGCACTCTTGGCTGGCTATCTTCTCAAGTCCATCCGTTGTTGCTCCACATTCAACGCCAATTTTTGAACATCATTGAATGTCCAATATGGCTGTAATTTGATCACCTCAGCAATCTCCTTCTTGACCCCTCCTAGATAACGTGCAATGGTTTGCTCTTTAGGTTCCACCACATCGCACTTAAGCATAAGATATTCGAACTCCCGGGTGTAATCAACTACGGACAAATCAAATTGCTTGAAGTTGTGAAACTTCAAGTAATTGTCTTGTTTGTAACTGTCCGAAATGAATCTTCTCTTTAGTTCTTGCTTCATTTTCTCCCATGTTCGAATGGGCCTCCGTCCTTCTCGCTCCCGTTCTCGCTTGAGATTCTCCCACCAAAGGGATGCGTATCCCTTTAGCTTGATTGCCACTAACTTGACTCTTTTTTCATCCGAGTAATCCTTGAATTCAAAAATTCTCTCCACTGTGTACAGCCAATCTAGGAATGCATCGCCTTGAGATTTTCCTTCAAATTCAGGTACATCAACCTTCACGTCACCTTCACGATGGTAGTGTTGGTTTCTTCCCTGAGGTCTCGCATCTTCATCACTAGAGTCCTCCTCATGGAAAGGGTTTTCATCTTCATTCCGATCCCGTTCACGCCTTCTAGGGTGTTGTCTTCCCTCCATTTGCAATAGTCTTTGTTGAAGTTGCTCTACGGTCCTCCTTAATTCAGCCATCTCCATCTCTCTTTCATAATCATTTGTAGTTGGAAAATCTGGTGGAATGGGGTTAACTCGTCTTGCCATAAATGAAAATCACGTTGGATTGAAAACACTAGGGACTTAACACGATCTCTGATACCAGAAATGATACCGCTCCTATGGAGTTGGTAACGGTATTCTTAAATTGGAAGGGTTATGGACGTTTTAGGGGTTGATGGAAATGTTAGGATTGAGAAAAATTATTAAAAGATAAGTTCCGACGCCACTTGGAATCCACCAAGATAAGTCTTAATCTCGCCACTCAAGGAATCCACCAAGAGATAAGAGAAAGTAAGGGAAAACACCGAGGTTTCTCTCAATTTTTCATTCGTTCAAAAAACCGTCCTTGCAAATCTAAAAATTACATATTTAAAAGCCAAAAACTGAAACCAACTAATCAGCTCCACAAATGGCCGTTGCACACTTTAAGACATACATCAATGGCACTAATTGCCTTTCATTCACATCAAAGGTTAACTCCAAGAATTAACAACAAAAAATTGTTGTAACTCCATAATTTAAAACCTCACAAACCAACAGCCACAAATGGCTATAATAAACACACTTAAAACAAACATAAATGCTGCTAACCCAAAGAAAACGTCCCCAACAACAATTGTTCAACAATTAGCCTTCAATTCTGATTGAGACACATGGAAAACATGCATTGGATCACTCCCATGCAGCCCATGTACATGCAAATCACGTCCATCCTCATCATTCTCCCCGGGTTGGAGAGGACTTGACCTCGAGTCCAAAGGCTCGTCTTCAACAAAGGGAGAAAGATCAGCCACATTGAATGTAACGGACACTCCATAATCGCCTAGAAGCTCCACTTTGTATGCATTATCATTGATCTTTTGAACAATTGTAAAAGGTCCATCTGCTCTTGCTTGGAGTTTTGGAAACCTCCTATTGGGAAATCGTTCCTTTCTGAGATGAATCCATACTTTGTCCCCAATTTGAAAAGTGACCTTCCTCCTATGTTTATTTGCTTGCTGCACATACTTATCATTTTGTTTGGCAATCTTTTCTCGAACTTGTTCATGCAACTTCTTGATATATTTTGCTCTTTCTTTAGCTGCTCCACTAAAAGTTGTTTCAGTTTTAAGGGGCACAAGATCCAAGGGAGTGATTGGATTCTTACCATAAACAATCTCGAAAGGACTACACCCGGTTGTTTGACTAATGGAACGGTTATACGCAAATTCAGCTTGTGGAAGAGATAAATCCCATACCTTGATGTTTCTCTTGATGAGACTTCTCAATAAAGCTCCCAAAGATCGATTAACCACCTCAGTTTGTCCATCCGTTTGGGGATGATGTGAAGTGCTGAATTGGAGTCTAGTTCCCATTTTCCTCCACAGAGTCCTCCAAAAATGACTAAGGAACTTAGCATCTCGATCCGAAGTTATAGTTTTTGGAACACCATGTAGCTTAACAATCTCTTGAAAATAGAGGTCAGCAATGTTTGTTGCATCAGCTGTCTTGTTACATGGCACAAAATGAGCCATCTTAGAAAAACGATCTACCACCACCATGATTGAATCCTTTTGCCTTTGAGTCCTAGGTAAACCAAGAATAAAAATCCGTACTTGCATCCTCCCATGGTGCGTTTGGAACAGGTAGGGGTGTGTACAATCCAGCGTTGCTTCCATGAGTCTTGGCTTGACGACAAGTCTCGCATTGATCCACAATTTGCCCCACATCCTTAGTAAGCCGTGGCCAAAAGAAATTGTCTTGCACCAGGTTTAAAGTCTTGTCTCGGCCAAAATGACCATCCAAGCCTCCACTATGAGCTTCTCGTATTATGGCTTCCCTCAATGATCCTTGGGGAACACAAAGCTGTGCACCCTTATACAAGAACCCATCTTGGACCAAAAATTATTTATATGGCCCCTTTGAACAATACTTCCAAATTCGACCAAAATCAGCATCATCCTTGTACATACTTTTCACAAAGTCAAAACCAAGCACCTTAGCATGCATCATGTTCAACAGCAAATGGCGCCTACTTAACGCATCAGCCACTTGATTAACTTTACCAGACTTGTGCTTGTTGACAAAATTGAATGATTGGGGATACTCCACCCACTTTGCATGGCGTGAGTTGAGCTTGTGTTGAACATTCAAATACTTAAGAGCTTCATGATCTGAAAAAAGAACAAACTCGTTAGGATAAAAATAATGACTCCAATGTTCCAGTGCACGGATGATGGCATAGAACTCCTTGTCATATGTCGAGTACTTCCTCCTTACTTCATTCAACTTTTCGCTGAAAAAAGCAATTCGCTTGCCTCCTTGACTCAAAACAGCCCCTATTCCCACGCCTGAAGCATCACACTCCACCTCAAAAATCATTGAAAAATCGGGTAGTGCAAGAACCGGTGCTTCCATCATCTTCTTTTTAATTAACTCAAAACTCTTTTGAGCCTCTGCATTCCACTTAAAAGTTCCATCCTTCATGCACTCGGTAATTGGAGTAACCAAAGTGCTGAAATTCTTGATAAATCTCCTATAAAAGGAAATCATTCCATGAAAACTCCGAATATCAAATAGAGTTTTTGGAATCGGCCAAGTTGCAATAGCGTCCACCTTGCTTTCATCAACCTTGATTCCATCTTTGGATACAACATACCCAAGGAAGGTTATAGTTTCAGCCATGAATTGACACTTCTTCAAATTGACAAAAAGACTTTCAGCCCTCAAAGTCTCAAGCTAGCACTTTCCTTAGATGCACCAAGTGCTCTTGCATATTTTGACTATACACAAGAATATCATCAAAATAGACCACCACAAATTCTCCCATGAATGGTTTGAACACATGCGTCATGAGTCTCATAAAAGTGCTAGGAGCAATGGACAAACCAAATGGCATGACCAACCATTCATACAAACCTCTTCCTGTTTTGAAGGCTGTCTTCCATTCATCTCCCAGAAGCATCCGAATTTGGTGATATCCGCTGCGTAAATCTATCTTGGAAAATATAGCAGATCTATGGAGTTGATCAAGTAAATCATCAAGTCTCGGAATGGGAAACCGGTATTTGATTGTAATCTTGTTAATTGCTCTGCTATCCACGCACATCCTCCAGCTTCCATCTTTTTTTGGAACAGGCAAGGCAGACACGGCACAAGGACTTAAACTCTCTCGGATCAGCCCTTTGGAAAGCAACTCCTCCACTTACCTTTACAATTCAGCTTGTTGCCTCGGGTTGAGTCTATAGGCAGCCTTGTTTGGAAGTGACGACCCCGGAATAAGATCAATCCGGTGTTGTATTCCTCTCAATGGGGGCAGCCCACTCGGTAATTCCTCCGGAACAAGATCTTCAAATTCCCTTAGAAGTGGCTGAACCGGATCAGGGAGCTCTGCTATCATTTCATATTCTTCTTTTGCAAGAAGAACAAAGACATCTTCCTTTTTTGAAAGAACATGCTCAACTTGGAAACCTGTCAAGAATACTTGCCCATCGAAATTGGCAGTTTTCTTGTCTCCATTCGGCTTCATGGGGGCCAAAATAATCCGCAATCCATCTTTCATAAACGAATGAGTATTGTTGAACCCATCGTGTACCACCTTCTGATCATATTGCCAAGGACGCCCCAACAAGAGGTGACATGCATCCATA